CCTTCAAACCAAAGAAGAATATTCCGGAGGGATCTCACCAGTACGAGCTGCTGAAGCATGCCGAAGCCACACTGGGAAGCGGTAACCTCCGGATGGCCGTTATGCTTCCAGAGGGTGAAGATTTAAACGAATGGGTTGCAGTTAACAGTAAGTCAGCTTTTTTTTTTTTTTCTTAAGGGGGGTTGTTACCCAATGGTGTACTCAACCCTCTATCTACTAAGCATAAGACCCTGATTTATTTAAGTGTGAGGGCCTAAAATCATGTAAACGCTGCCAAGGACTACAGTGACATGTGTGGCCTGGCTTTCCTGTCGTCTGTAACAAACCCAGAGATCGGTCCTTGCTATTTTCCTAAAATCAGTTCTTTCCTGATTTTGTACCAAGTTGTGAGCCTTTGCTCTCGTAAGTCTGTGATGTCACTATTTTAACTTCCTCTAAAGCTGTTTGTCCTAACTCTCTGTTTTCATGCTAGATCAGGTCAAACAATGAGGCCCAAATTAGCGTTTTCTGATTGATTGACCACGTTTCCTCCTCCTTCCTCTCCCTACTGCATATATTTACTGCCTGCCTTCTGCTTTTAAAAGAATGGATCCACCCAAGTCCTATGATGCTCTGTAGCCCATGCAGAATTTTGGCTACCACAAACTCTGCGCCCTGTATTTCCTGTTTTTCATCTTATGTGTCTTTGGCTTGGTATGCTTCCCTGATTGTACGGTATCAATTGGGTGCTGCAGTGCAGTATAAATTATGCTCAAGATAAACATCTTCTTATTGTTTATGTGGTTCTCTCCCTTTCTTCTTGCTCTTTGACATGTTTGGGAGGTGAAACTGTCACACTGAGTTCAACCTTCTGGTTCTTAATTAGCCACGCAGTCCTCTGCTATATGACTTGCCACGGTGTCTAGGGAATGTTGAAACTGCTGACACCATTCTTTAGAAAAGTTTAATCACACTGTATTGCAAAACTGCCTAGGAAGAAAAAGCCAGCCCATTTTTATGAGTAAGCATTACGCAAGACGCTTCATATATTGCTGGCATACTTCCCTTTTGGTGGTTCCTCCGCCCCACGTCTACTCTTCCCTGTGTGGCAGTGGTGTTTTTCCCTTCCCACGTGACTTAATGGCTAAAATAGCTGGGTGTCAAAAGGCAGCAAAGCACTTGACAAAAGAGTTGAAGCTGTGTTTTGTTGACAGCTGCATTCTGTAATGAAATGGCTTTTTCATGCCTCCTGCAGCAAAGTGGGGTTTTAATGCTTAATTTTTTGTCTGAAAGTGATTAACTGATTACGTGCTCCCTTCTTGTACAGCATCCCACTGCCACACGTAGTACTGGTTAATGATAGCTGTGGGCTCTTTCTGTCGATTGAGGTATCTAGTAAGAGAATAAAATGTGTGACCTAATGTCGTTGGTTTTGCCCTTCACAGTAGTGAAAGCACGGGAGCAAATGTGTTCTGCTTTTCTACTTCTCGCTCAGCTCTTAGCCTTACTAATGTCTTAAGGTAGTGAGTTAATGTACATGTAGATTTTTTCAAGTAAGTTTTCAAGACAAAGGAAGATGAGATGTGTATAATCAGTTTGAGTTTGATCTGAAGTCTCCTCAATTTGGAAGTACTACCAAACAATTTCAGAAGTACATCTTATCCATATCTTTGTAGAACACCAGACAGTGTGCTCTTCTTCGAGTAGAAAAGCACTTGGAATAAAGAGTCTAAGCCCTCAGAATTTAAGAACAGTGAGTAAAAGGAGGAAATGAAAATCCGCAGAGGCACTGTACAGCTTTATGCATGTTGGAAAGGAAGTTGTTGCTTTTGTCCTGCTTGTCACACGCTGCTGGCTTAGGTGTGTCTTGTGGCCTTTGGGGACTGGCAAGTGTGGGATTCACAGTCATCGGTCATCTGGTCGAAGCCTGCGTGGGGTTTCTGAGCGTGCTTGCCTTGAAGCAAATGTTGGGCTGTGGTTTGACTGGGAACAGGGAATGGAAACAACAGTTCTTGTGTATGCTTAAGCAACAAGGTCTGCATATAACCACTTCTTGCTGCCTTTGGTGTTAACTGCCTCCTCCCCTTGCCCAAACAAGCTCTAGGAGTCCTGGTTCTCACTAGTTTCTTCATCTGCCTTTCCCAATGTCATTTTGCTGTTCCCTGCTTCAGCTGTGCAGAGGGGGAGGAAAAAAAAGATCAGATTTTGTTGCTTTTATTTCTCAGTCCTAAATATTGGTCATCTTTCTGTTTTTGCTCATCTGTTGTCTGAAAGACATTTAGAAAATATGAACTTGCCAATTGATATTCTGGTAATGTGCTGAGGTCCCCAAGAGATGCAAGGGGGGACATTCAGGGAGGGGAGGTAAAGTGGATTTTATAAACTGGTTACAACGACCACAGTTCCTAAGAACAGAACTTGCTGCTAGGTTGTTCAAGAAGAACCTTGTTTTCAAAGAGTTCTTGGTAGTTGAGCACCTACTGAAAGTAGTAAGGACTATGGGATTGTTAGGCTAATTGTTGGTATTTAATTTTGGTAACTCAACTGTAGACCATTTAAAAATAAAAGTTTTGGACAAGAGAACTGTTTTCCCAAACATGGAAGTATAGTTTATAATGATGACTGACCATAGCATAATACAAAGAGGGTAGATGTAGATGGGATATAAAGCAGAAATTCTTTACTGTGAGGGCGGCAAGATGCTGGAACAGGCTGTGCAAAGGCGTTGTGAGTGCCCGGTCCCTGGAAACATTCAAGGTCAGGTTGGACAGAGCTTTGGGCAACCTGGTCTAGTGGAGGGTCTCTTTGCCCATGGCAGGCGGATTAGACAAGATGGTCTTAAAAGGTACCTTCTGACTAAAAACGTTCTGTTGTTCCATGAAATATGCTTTGAAAAGATAGACTTTTGGAATACAAAGCCTGAAGGAAGTTGCTGTCACCTAATGAGTAACAGTTCTCTCCAGTTGGAGAAGTTTACAGTGAAAATCTTTGGTTTATTCCAGACTTGCCAGCAGAATTTGGGATTCTAATAAAATGCACCAGGCTTTCAGAAAAGGAAATAACTTTCTTTCTTCTTCAAATGAAGGTTTTGCTGAAGTAAACAGTTAGTTACTGCCAGAGGCTAGTTCTAGAAAGTTAGCGATTGCATTCTGCATCTCCTTCATAATACATCTTAAAAAGCCATAACCGTGAGCTTTTTTCACAAAAAAATATTCCAAGATCCTCTTCAGCAGGGTGGGCTTTCCAGTTAAAGGCTGCAGAGTGTTAATTGATGGTTTAAATGCTTTACAGCTGTCGACTTCTTCAACCAGATCAATATGCTTTATGGAACCATTACGGACTTCTGCACAGAGGAGAGCTGCCCCGTGATGTCTGCTGGCCCAAAGTAAGAGGACTTTTTACACATCATTGAAAACGTGCAATTTTTGAAGTGATTTTGAGTAGCAGACTTGAGGCTAGCTCAGTTGAGTGCCAGAGAGAAGATAACTTCTGTGGGTGGAAAGACTGTCTTTTGGTACCTGTGAAGGAAAGAAGATTTGAACTCCTGTTAAAATGAGAGTGGGAATGGAAAGGTCGGGTTTTTTTGGCTTTTTGTTTGTTTGGTGCTTTGTTTATTTTGTCTTCAGCCTAGGAAGTAAACATTATCAAAACAGCTTTTCTCCCCTTTTTTCCCCCTGAAATGCAAATGAAGTCTTCTTAGATGAAGACTGGAAGTTTTTATAGTAAAGCATTCAGTTAGGGCCTACCAAAATTTTTCTTGTAGGCATCTGAGTAGGTGTTGTAGAAATAAATTTGGCTACAGTTTTGAGTAGTCTGGATCAGAATTCTGTCCCTCAGTTAAGTTTCACTTCTTTGATTCTTGCTTATATTTTTGTACAGACATCCAGTGTTTGCGCTTTTTCTTGCTTAGAATCTTCCAAAGAGGAAAATGATTACATTTCTAATCGAGTGATGAGAGAGGGCACTGCTTCCTTTTAAATTGCTGTAAAATCTTAAATAAGCAATAAAGAGCAACCTGGCACTGCAGAGCAGGCAGGAGTGAAAATATACAAGGCATACAAGTTTACCATTATGTGAAAAAAATTCAGGATAAGCTTGTGCAATAACATAGCCTATTGTCTGCTTTGTGCCTTGGGATGCAGAACAGACTCTTACTTAATAAGAGCATGAAAATAATTCTTAGCTTTCTTGTTTGTCTGTTGAGAAGAAATAATTTTGGGGGTGGAGGTTAATTATTAGAGGTTTAGCTGTCTGGTTGCCAGACTAAACAACTTATTTCTCTCCAATGAGACTGATAACCAGTGACAGCTGTATGTTGGACTCCAATAGTTATACAGTAGAGTAGAAGCGATGCTAGAGGCTAGAAGATGCATTCTGACAAGGTTTTAATAAGGTGATCTTATCCTTGGGATTGGTAGAGTGTTCCCCAAACTCTGCAGCCCTCCCCGTGCTCAGCCTGTGCAGATTGTCCCGAGGTCTGTTGTTCTGCTGGATGCTCCAAAGCGGATAGCTTCCATAAACCCTGCATGGGAGTGATATGGTGTGATGGAATGCTCTCATGCTGCCTTCTGCCCAGTGGGTCTGCACCAAAAAATAAAATAAATCATGTGATCAGGTCCTTGAAATACCCCGTGTATCTTAGCAGTATCAATTCTTTCCCATTTTTGTGATGCTCCACTCTGTGCCATTTCACTTGGTGACAAAACACAGTATTTTTCAGCAGGCTTGCTGTAATACAGTTTTGCTGAGATATAGAGATGTCAGGTCCAAAGAAATGCCTGAGAATCTTTTAAAAAGCATTGCTGAGCCACCCCATTTTATTGCTGTTGGACAAAGTGACAACTGTCATTTTAATCAAGCTGGGGTTTGAGTTTTTCTGGGGTTTTGTTTTTTTGAGGGGCCAGGTACATGTAATTGTGTGGTACAGGAGCTGGTTCTATGATTTTTATACTTTAGGATATCTTCTGTTTTAAGAAGCACATCTGGGGTTTCTGGTTATAGATGGCAAATAACTTGTATTAATTAGTATGAGCAAATTCTACTGGAGTCATCAGCAATTCTTCACTTTTCCTCTGCCCTTGTTGAAGTCAACTGTCTATTTCTTGCTCTGTCCTTCACAAATTGTTTTGCCCCTAAAAATCTCTGCTAAATTGTAGAGGTTTCTGAAACTGTGTTTTCTGTAGCTTGTCACAATAAGGTTAATTTGTTTCTATCACCAGAGCTGTTGATATTTGCTCACAAGCTTGAGAGAGAAATGGGATTTTAGCCTTCATTTCCTGTAGTGGTTCAAATGGTACTAATATGTGGGATTTTTTTTAGCCAGGCTAGGTAGAATTCTTGATTGGTATTTGGTAACGTATTTAATCTCCTAAGAAGAGTTCATTTTCCCCTCTCCCTTCCAAACCCCAAGCCTTTGAGCAGCCAGGAGCGTTACACCCACTGCATGGAGCATGGGCTGTTGGCCAGAATACTTTCAGATTTTCTATACACCTTTATTTTTGTCAGAATGTAAGTGCTGTTCCTTAAGAACTGTGCTTCTTTCAAGGGTCATTTTATGGCATTCCTTTCTCTGAAAAATGGAGAATTAACACCCAGTGTTGGGGGCTGAGAAAGGAGGGACGCTTCATATGGCAAGATGTTATCTGGATCAGATTTTTAGTGTCTCATTTAGTTGGTTGTCTTTCTCTGTCTCCAGACTGAATCTGGCACCTCAGTTAAGTGTTGATATTGGTCCTACGTTAATACCACTTAAAGTCTCCTTATTAGGGTAATGCTGGCTGGTGAGGAACACTGATTTTTTTTTCAGTAATCCAGACATGTTATCCATTCAGTGTCTTGTTTTGAGCCACAATTTTGAAACGCTTTCAAACCTTCTGATTTGTTGCTGTTACAAAAATGGGATCTTTTTATGCCATCATGAGCAGCATGTTCATAATCTCTCATGAAAGTTGTTTATTGTGAAAACCAGTCACTGTTTTGAGAAAGCTGAACTTGAGTAAACAACAGAAGCAGCCCGGTTTACCAGATACAGTTAGGCTTTGTGTAAAATGGTGTGTATGGTCCCTCAAATAGAAATATGCTCTGGTGTCCACACAATACAAATTGGATTTTAAGCTCTATGTCCCCAGGATTAGCTGTCTTCTCGTGTGTCCAGGCTTGTGTCAGCTGTGTTGCCTGAGCCAGGCAAAATACCTGGTCCATCTCTGTTAAAAGCCAGTGTAGTTTGGTCTTAAGTTCTGCAAAACCTGTAAGAATATTTTCAAATGTAAAGAAATCCCATGGATTTTAGGGATCTAATGTCTGTCTGGCAGCTGCTGCAGATGTTTAGCATAGCAACACACTCTGTAGTTGTCCTCTGCCATTGGAGGTAAAGAGGAGCCCATTTCTGTGGTTGCTTGGATGAAATTTCATGTGAGAAATCCATCAGGTGCCTTCACTGATCTGAGCTGTGAAGCACAGCTTTTGTTTGTATGAGAATCTGATGGAAATTTTTGATGTTTCACTTCAACAGGCTATAAAGCTTTTCTTTTGGAAAGGGGAGCATGGGGAACTTTCAAGATAACTAAGTAGCTATTGTCCTCTCGGGGTTTGGAAACCTCCTCAGACAGCACATTTTGATGTACCTGGGTGCAGGTTTGCCCACAGGCTGCCGGCTGCATTTTGGCAGCAGGAGCGTTGCAACTGGGGATGAATGAGTTGTGCTGTAAAGGGTGATTTTTTTTATTTTTTGAAGGACTTCATAAAGAGCAGAAGAGAGCCCAGTAAAGCAAGGTGTCAGCGGGGAGATGGGGTACAGAGCAGCTGCAGGTGGCTCGGGAGCATTTGAAACTTATTTTCCAGGAAGGTCTGTGGGAAGGTGTGCGAGCACGGGGAGCGGAGTGGGAAGAGCTGCCTTCCAGGCCTTGCTATGAATGATTCACTTATGTTAAGAAATGTCTTGTTGTTGTCATCCCAACCCAGGTATGAGTACCACTGGGCAGATGGGACAAACATAAAGAAACCAATTAAGTGCTCTGCACCGAAGTACATTGATTACCTGATGACTTGGGTCCAGGATCAGCTGGATGATGAAACGCTATTTCCTTCTAAAATAGGTAAAAAAGTAAAATGGAACAATGTGTTTGGATTACAGTTGTACAGGAATATTCAAGTGCTACAGCATTAAATTGTCTCCTAAATGACTACAAGCAGGGCAACTTTAAAAGGCTAAATTATGTCCATAAAGACATTTTTATCTCTCAAGATAAATTTTCTGTGGTAGTACCGGAACTCTGATCCTTATGTTAATACTCCTCTTAAACCCCATCACAATTTTGCATACAAGAAGTGCTATTTCTGTTTAATAACTGACTCTGTTGATCAAATCTGATGTTTTTAAATTTTGAACAGTTTCCTTAGAAACAAGGCAGAGGGTCTCAAAACTTTATAACCAATAATTGGTACAAACCGGCTGCTTTTTGATGCAGAGATGATGTCTGGTCCTCACAAGGAACTTTTCCTTGGCCTTACCTCCAAAGAAGCTGAACTGCATCTTTGATCTTAAGTGGATGATTTTATGTTTTTCCTTTTCAAGTGGAAATGAAAGATATGTGTTTTTCAGAGGTTTCTTTCAGAAAAGCAGGAGGAAAACAATCAACAACCAGCAGTTTGGAAACAATAACAACAAGAAAACCCTGTTTCTAGAGGCATGGAGAACTGTTTGGTCTAAAGCTCCTGACTGGCAGTTTTCCAGCATACCTCTCCTCATAGGCTCAGGAGTGTAGTGGAAAAAGGGCGATCTCCTAATTGTGCTTAGTAGTTGGGAGCAGGGTTTCCTTGGATGCTACAGCATTCTTTTCAGCCTGTCAGGGCAGAGATAAGAGCTAAGGTAGAAGTCCACTACTAATGGAAATTATATTAAATAGTTACAGTTAACATAGAACTGGTGTTTAAAAAAAAAAAGGACTCAATCTTTCTTGAAGTGCAGCATATACTTTGCCACAGACTGTTTTCTTTTAATAAGATGTATTTTTGAAAGGTAGTCATTCAGAAAGAGACTTCAGGGCCACAGTGGATAACCAACTAAATCTGAACTTCCCATGGGATGCAGGAGGCTGCAAAGGACATGCAATGCACATGTAAGCAGGGCAAGCTCAAATGACAGTATGAAAATGTTATTACTAGGATTTTAAAGCATTGGTAGAGATCCAGGATGGCCTACAGCATCCAGCTTGGGCCTTTGGCCTTCTGACGGGAATCCAGCAATGGGAAAGGCTGCAGAAGAACTAAGCTGGCTGTGAAAAGTGCTATGTGATGAGAAGCTAGGCATGTTTAAACTTTTTAGGTGGTTGATGCCTATCCTTTTTTTAGCCTGCAGGTGTGTCAGCTAAAGAGATTATGGCTCCCAGTAGCTGCCTGCCATTTCCAAACCAATTTTAATAAAACTTGTACACTGAGAAAGACCTGTCATTGAAATGGATTTTAGCTGTCCTGGGCCATTTTTGCTAAAAAGACTGAAAGGAGCATGTTTTTGAGTGCTTCAGCAGGTGGTTAAGAATGAAGTAGCCTCTGGCTGAGGGATAGTGATGAGCGGGATGGAAGCAGGAGTCTTTGTGCTGAGAGGTGGATGAAAGCCTATTTCTGATTCACTTCAGCCAGGAAAAGTGTAAAACTTGATGGCTGATACCAGAGATGGTTTCAGTTGCCTACACAGAGGTATCTGGTGACCCTTGGAGTACCCTGTGGTATCTTGGCCATGTCCACAGGGGGGACTGGGAGCCTGCAGGAGACTGCCTTGGCAGCCAGAGGCCAGGATGGTGCTGAGATAAGCACATCATATACCTGTGTTTGGGTAGGTGAATCCTACTAGAAGGGAGGAAGATTCTCAGTCAGAGAAGGCTCTACAGGGAACTGCACTGAGGCATAATGAGATGCAGTAGCCGAGTTTAGGAGTGTTTAGCACAGAAATGTCATCAGATTTGTCTTGGAAAAAGGTCACTGGTCGTTCAGTGTGCTTCGGCCAAAGTACGTTGCGTGATTTACAGAACTGCTGACAGAAACCAGCAGCCTTTCTTGTGCAAGAGGTAGGGTTGGGCTATAGCAACTTTCAAAATACATGAACGTGGCATGGGTTTGTAAAAATAAGCTGTGTTTTCTTATTTCCAGGCGTACCGTTCCCAAAGAATTTCATGTCAGTGGCAAAGACAATTTTGAAGCGTCTCTTCCGAGTTTATGCTCACATTTATCACCAGCACTTTGATCCAGTGATCCAGCTCCAGGAAGAGGCACACCTTAACACTTCTTTCAAGCACTTTATATTTTTTGTTCAGGTAAGTGTGACAGGAGGATTATGCTTCCAGTAATATTCTTTAAAAATTTCTCAAAGAAATGCCCCCTTGGTTTCTTAGCAGCTCGTGCTTTTGTAGGAGAGTCAGCACATCCAGGACACTAAGATAGTGTCTTACTCCTTTTTTATGCCTATTTAACACTAGAAGCATTCAAGGACTAGAGAAATTTCCAGGTGAGTATGTTTGCTACAAAACAGAATACCAAAAAGCATTCCCTACCAAATAATTCATTAATCTTCTTACGTTCCCTTTAATTGGGGTGAAGAAGCTTTAGGTAGGTGAGTGATGCTCTTCAGCTAAGGGCAGATGGGCAGAAAATGCTGTAGTGGCTAAGCCTGGACTTGAAGAGCCTACTAACAAATAACTTCTGTCTGAATGAGACTTCTCACCTGAGCTGCACATCTGAACCCATCTTTCTGCTCGTACTCATTACAGGAATTCAACCTTATTGATAGAAGAGAACTTGCACCACTTCAAGAACTGATTGAAAAACTCACCTCTAAGGACAGATAAAAGGAAGAGGATTTTTGAAGTCACTTGTTCCTTTAAGCAAGCGTGTGGTATTTTTTTGTTAATTTGTTGTTTGATTTTTAAAAAAAAAAAAAAAACAAAAACAAACAAACAAAACAACAAAACCTGTGCTGTTATTAATGACAGCCAAGTTCTACTTTCTGTGCTTTTATTAGGGGAAATCTTTTATCTGTTAGTGACACGTGGTAAATAGCTCTTCGTTTTGGATTTTTTTTTTCTTTGATAGTTGTTATTCATTGTGGGATTTTAGCAGGTGCTGAGTGTTAAAAAGGAAACATGCTTGGCTGGGGGATTGACTCTGCTGGTGGATGGGTTCTTGTATTGTGTCAGTGGTTGCCCATTTTCATCAAGTACCTAAAAGACTTGCTTACATTCTCTTAAGTGCCTTGGCAGACTCTCTTCTGAGGTGCAAAGCACATACAATACTGAACATTGCTGGAAACAGAAAATACAAACTAACACCCAGGACACTTACTGATACTTCTTTTAGAAAAAAAAAATATATGCTTACACTAAAAAAAGCCATAACTTACTGAAATCAATGATCTCCAGCTTTTAATACAAATACTTATTTTTTTAGAGATGAATATAGAGTTTTTCAAAACTAGATCTTTCTTATAAAGAGAAGTGATAGTGAAGTTTTAGTCACTCAAGCGAAATGATGAAGATGGTGTTGAAATGACAAAGCCCCTGTGCTTAGTGAGTAGGTTCATGTCTGTGGCCATTGGTTTGGGCTTGTCATAGTTGCTTTTATTTTTTTAACACGGAAGAGTCAACTCGGGTCAGTCGCTTTAGTGAGGTTTCCTGGGGTTTGCCAAATGAATGGTTAGTTTGCACAAATAGAGTTAGGGGGAAAAAAAATACAGTTAGGGAAAGTATTCAGTGTTAAAAAAAAAAAAAATGCACTGGGCTAGGTAAGACGAAGAGAAATCTGGCTTGAAAATAAACTAGTGAAGCAATGTTTTTAAGTCCTGAATAAAAAGTCTGGCTCTGTTGAGGACCTCTGGTGGCCAGTGTTTTCTGTATTAGGAAATGGATCTTGGAGGGAATATAGTTCCATGGCCCACTTTGGATTTACATTAGGGTGGTGGTGTGCCCCATTTACAACTGCAGCCTATCTCCAAGGAGTGACAGCAGCTGGCAAAACAATAGGCACATAGTGGTGAATTTTCAGGTCCTTGTGATTTGGTAAGCGCATCTCCTGTTTCTTAGAAAACCAAATAGAAACGTGGCCTTCCCCCACTGGGGTTAGTGTATTTGCCTCTCTAGCCTTGTCTTTTCTCACACCAGGAATGAGTATCTGCTGTGAGAAGTGAACCTCATGCGGTCAGCACCCACCTGACTATGCAAAAGCAGCTTAACTTCCAAAAATCCAACTGCACAATTTTAAGCAGACTCTGGTCAGGCAGGAAATAGCATTTAAGAATGTGATCTTAACGCAGCCTTCTACGAGAGCTTCTATCTGAGGAGCGTTCAACGACTGCAGCTTCCCAGCCTGGAGAGCTCTGCAGGTGCAGCTGGATCTTAAAAATCCTGTAAACATTTTGCTTTGCTGAGAAGAGTCAGCCGCTCAAGAGGCTGCGTGTTTGTGTCCCCTGTGCTCCTGGTGCTTTCTGGAGAGGAGCGTTTTAACCAGTGCTGGAGCTCGTGCTGGCATGTTGCAGCGAGGCACAGGAGTGAGAGCAGGAGGAGCCTGCTCCAAGGGGCTACATAGGAGATACCCTCCACTAGATTTCAAGCTGTCACATTGGTTTGATGTCAAGCATCAGCAAGAAATGGGAAAAAAAATGTATAATTTTGAAGTGAGGATTCTTTTTTGGTGATACCAGTGCAGTAGTTCTCATTTTTAGCATACTTCTGGTCTGGAAGTTTGGGGCTCTTTTGTTTAAATAGCCAATTCTAAAAATTCAGAGGCATCTGCTGCCTTTCACCCAATCAGAATTAGAATGTATTATGTAAAAAAAAAATGCCATGGATAGCCTATTTTTTGTATTTAGTATCTGGAAGTAGAAAACTTTGACAGAATAGTTTTTAGGCATGTAATAAAAGCTTGGAGATCATGATTTGCCTGACACCTGTATGAACACGTTGAATTACATGACACTTGAAAACAATAACATTAAAGATGTGTATGCAGTGTTTGGGATGTTCTGTCCCTATGCTGTTGATATTTGCAGCTTTTAATTTTTTTTTTTTTTTTGCTTCAAAAAGATGTGGGACCAGTGTGTTGATGCTCTTGAAGTAAGGGCATGTTGCAACACCAAAAACAAGTTGCCATGTTGTACAAACGGGATCCAGATCAAGTGAATGTGTTACTAAACCAGTGCATTTGTTGGGTGGCAGGGGGGAGGATGCCCCCTCACCCCCCAAATAAACCCCAGAGAAACAAACCCTGAACAAACCCCGCACTGCTCTAGGCCCACGTCACAGATGGACTCGCTTACGAAAGGGAGAAAATAGGTTTTGAGGATCAGGTGGCCCATCTGCAAGTATCACGTTTCTTTTACTGCTTACTATGCAATGTAGAGCTTTGAACTTTTGCTTTTAGTTTAAGATGTAGAGGAGCACTGTCCTTATTCAGTATTTAGGAACCGAGCACTCTCCCGGTCTCCCTGACACTCACGTAACAGGTAAGGATACCTGTTTGCTGCTATGGACTTTACTTACCTTTCCGATTGTTCCTTTATGGTTCTCGTCCCCCCTCCCTCCCTTTCCCTTGAATCACCAGACATGGTTTTGCTACCGACGCAGCTTTTTTAGATAGTCTTTCCCTTCTCCCCTTCTTCCCTGACAGAGTGCTGTGTTCCTGTATATAACCCACCCCCTTTCAGTGGGACTAGTTAAAAAGCTGCAGCACGAACACAGGCTACTTGCTTTTCTCCCACCAAAAGATTCCCCGTTGCACCAAAACCTGTTTCCTTTGCTGCTGATGTCACTTGGCTTCTTTCCCAGATGGCACTACTAAAACCACAAGTGGTTTTACAGCCTTTGCCTAGCTGTCTTCTCTGTTAAACTGAGAGTAACGTCCGTTACTTTAAGCATTGAACCTTTTAATTTTTCCTCTTTGTTTACAACTTCCTCTTGCCAGGTGAATATTGCAGTCTATCTAACTATCAAATTACATTTTTGTTCCAAGAACCAATTCCCTGAATTGTTCATAGAGTATTGTATTTTTAGGCGAAATTAATTTTTATAGCCGCTAAACTATGCGCATTATTTTTGTACATTTGCAACTTCTGACATTTTTCAGAGATGTGTTGCGGGGGGAACATTTTATTTTCGTGGCTGTTTTACTACTTTGGGATGCTGTGGATGTGTTGCTTAGTATCTAGAAGCACGATGTGCAGTGGAAGGGAGAAAAGGATGCAATAAAAGTCAATGAGGTTTCAATAAAAGGCCATTGTTGAAGGCAAAAAAAAAAATTAAGAAAGCAACACTAACCTTCCCTCCTCTAGAATCCTGAAATATATGGGAGAAAATGCAGTGTAAAAGGTAAAAAGTGAGCTGAGAACCCTTACTGTAAGCTAACTGTGCCAATATCTCTTCAGTTTGTAGTCACTGATAGATAGTTTAGTTTTAAATGAGAACAGCTTTTGATTATTAAAAAAAAAAAAGGTAAAAAGTTGAATGTCTGAAAATCTGCAACGTTTATTTGAGAGTTGTAAATAATGTATACAGATTGTTGTATGTGATGGGACAGAATATTTAAATTCTAGGTTTTTTTCAATAAGAAACTGAAGGCTGTTTATAAGAGAAAATAAATAGCTATGTTTGACCATGGTTGTCTGTATTTCCTTCTTGAACTTGTTTCTAAGTTATCTTTTATTTGTAGATAGGGATTTTTTTTTCTGTATATTGTACACATACCAACCTTACGCATCCAAATTAGTTTTTTGTAATTGCCTTGCCCAAATTTGTGAATATTTGTATCGCAGGCAAACACAATAGCAATAAAACAACCTGATACCCTTTGGATTTCCATGTTTCATGACGCGAATTCACCCAATACAGCCGGAGCTCAATGTGCAGTTTCCCGTCACAGTTTTAGCATAGCAGTAGCTGCATCTTAGTACTGATCCTGGGGTGGTCTGGAAAGATCTGCTACCAGGTGGGTGTCCAGTCGCTCTACTGTCTCAGGTCACCAGCTTCACGTGAAATCCAGACTCTACTTTTGGCCACGTTGCCCTTTTTTTCTTTATTTCTCTTAAAAGCCTCCTGGCTCTCCAGGTTTCCTCCCCTCCCCTCCACCCATCTACTGGCACCTGTTACTCTGAAGCCCTGTCACATATTAAGTAGTTTCTCGACTCTTCCATCTCTTCATGTTGAGAAAGATGGTTAAAAATCTTGCTTTTTCTTCTGTCCCCACGAATGGGCGAGGGTTGGTGCGAAGTGAGTTTCGTCTCCCGTGGCGTTGGCACTATGTGGCTGGACCCCAGAGCATGGTCGTGCCTGGTTCCTAGATCAGAGGATTTTCTCCATTTAAATTGGTCTTTAAGACCCAACCTTGCTCAAAGGCTGCGGCGGTGTTTTGTGTGATGCAGCATCCACTACAGCTTTGGTGGCTGTTCGGGGTATTTTAGGGTTTTCTGCGCTGACCCTCTAACCAAGCACCTTTAAGCTCCTTTAAAACCACTCCGCCTGTCTCTTTTAAGTTATTTCTGGAAGATTTTTGACAGAAACGGCCTCACGAGCATCTTGCCCTCATGGCGGTAGGGCTTGGGTCCCGCTCAGACGGCAGGCGCCAGCCCCAGTGTTTAAACCTGTCCGTGGGGAGCGG